CCGCCTCCACACCGCCACCGCTGGCTCCTGCCTGAGCCTGCTAGGCTCTCGGGGGCCAGGACAGGGACTGGCACGGATCAGGAGCCCCTGGTCCGGGAGAGGAAAATGGAAAGGCGGTGGAGAACCATCAGGAGCCTTGTTCAAACTGAGGAGAAAGCAAAAGGTCAAAGAGATAGTGGTGACAGAAAGTTGCTCACAGACTTAAATGTATCAAAAGCCTGTAATTCTTCAGTCCAGCTCTAGAAGTCAAGGTGAGGATTTTTTGGAGCACGGAGTCTGGCTTTCAAAACTGTTCTCCACCTTCGTCTTCCAAAAATATAATTGGTCTGACAGCTCAAACAGGCACCCCAGACTCACTGGGGAAATAAAGCATCATGCTATTCTTAGAATTATTTGTGCAAAAATACTTCATCTAACACCACATGTTTCTCTTCCCAGTGAAACATTTTACTTTAAAATAAAGTCACAGGTTTGTATGACAGTAAGGCCACAAAGCAGTGTATAAGTGTTCATGTTTAAAGATCAAGTAGGCAGCTGGCTACAGGTACCACCAGGTGTGGATTCACTCCTGGGGTAATCGGTGATGGAGGGAAGGCAAAGATTGGTTCCATTTCTCTTTTCAAAGAAAGATATTTTTGAAGACACTTAAAAAAAAAAAAAAAAGGTAAGATCTTTAAGGGGAAGATGAGCCTTTGGGGGCAAAGACAAGAACACGGGGATAAAAAGTGAAGATCCCCCTGTGCTTCCTCCTCAGCAGTGACCAGGCACTCCCCAGCACATTAACGAAGCAATAGGACTTCATTTCATCCCGTTTTCCAGCCCCACTTCTGGACTTTCTTTCTGTGAGGCTCGGGCTTTTCTCCTAGCAGCCTGGGCTCTAGTGAGCAAGCTGGGATCTCGCTTTGTGGGAGCCCAAACCCAAAGAGGAGTCAGGGAGGCTGAGAAGAACCAGGCCTGGCCTGGTGAGCTTCAGAAGAGTGCCTTCCACCTTCCAAGGGAAGGGATTTGTGTATGGTGATGACACTCTTCTGGAAAATGGGTGGGGCAGGCATAAAGCTTTCTTTTTTGGATGGGAGATTTGGAGGGCACGGGGGAGGGAGCATTGGGTTGACATCAGCCCCTTAGCACAGAGCCTATTTTGTGTCGATAATGCCTTTAGAAACTAGGCAATGGATGAAAAATAATTTCATTGCCATTTGAAACTTATGTCCAGTTTTCATGGCCCTGAAACTGTTTTTGGCATATTAATTTAAAATAGCTGCAAATCCTGTCTCCCTCAGTTTTCTGTTTGATTGACTCTCCATGGTTTTATTGACCTTTGATGAAGCATCTTCACTTTCTGTTTACTCAGGGATGGATTGTTGTTGATGCTATGATGGAGTCTGGTTGGGTTTCCAGGTTAGTGGAGGTTGTTTGGTGATGTGCCTGCCAAACTCTAAGCTTGTGTGTTTCAACAGGCAGCAATAGAAAAATCAGCTATGATTGTAAAAAGAAAAAGTAAAGAATCCCCCAGTCCCACTCCCCTGCATGTATCCTTCTTAGAATGTCCTCTAAATAGGTAGTTTCTTCCCTTCTTGATAAACTAGGGGTGGTCATTTTGGCTCCTAACAGCTGATCAACCAGGAGGCAACATACTGACACTTCATTATATCCTAGGGTGTGCCTCACTTGGGGAAAGCTGTGGGAAATGCTACTTTCTCATCATAGTTGTCTTTATCTTGTTGTTGTTTTTTTAGTGCATGCTCCTGCGTAGTTCCCTGAGAAATTTACTTTCCTGGGGGAACTAGCAACTTGTTTAAGGGCAGGGCAGGATTGGAGGCCTCTGTGCTTTCCCGTCTCACCTTTTCCTTGTGCTGAAGCGGCTGCATTGGTCCTGTAACGTGGGTTAGAGAACTACACTCTGAATGAAGTTGATGGATGTGTGCTCACGTGCACTCATTGGGGTGCTCCCTTGATTGGGCACTTTCTAAAATAGAGAATGCTGCACTGATTCTATCTTGTCCTAAAAAGCAACTCTCTATTCAAAAGGACATTCTCCACACTCCCTTCCAAGTTTTTAGATTGGGGACCCTATGCGGAACTTCTCCCCTTTTTCCCCCTCACTTCACAGTGTTTCAAAGGAGAGCTGAAGCTATTCTAGTCTCTGCTTGACAAGTGAGGCTACTGATTTGCACCGTGTACCAGAAGGAGCATTCCTGAAGGAGGCTGACTCCGAGAATTCAGGGGAGGGAACAGTAACTGCAGGGACGGTCACTTTAGAGGCGCCCTTCTAGAACCTGGGGCCTCCAGGATCCATGTCCCTGGATGCACGCAGACTATTCAGCTTTCCATTCCTGGATCAGATACGTGGCTCCAGCGTCCTGGCTGCGTTTTGCTCCGAGGCTGGAGAGGTTGCTGTCAACCGAGGGTTTGTTAGGCGTTAGCTTTCGTGCCTGCTCCAAAGGATCTAGATGCTACTCGCTCTCGATTTCGCTTTCCCCCTCCCTCCCTGTAACATGCCAGCCGTTTAATGTGGAGTGTCAGGGAGACGGTGACGTCACCTTGCCCGCTGGGTGGCGTCCCCTCCGTCCGACACGAGTTCAGAGACAGAGAAAGGCGCTGTCAGACTGCGCTCCACCTGGGGCTCGCCGCCGCGGGTTTCCGCGCGCCCGCACTTTCTGCGGTCTAGGGGACGCCCCGCCACAGCTCGGGCTGCCATTCTCTCCTGGCCGGGCTTCGAGCGCCGTTGAGCGCCAACGAGCTCCAGCACCTTCACTGGGAGCCCTCCCGAGTCCCGCCCTCTGGATTCGAGGACCCGCTTGGATGCTTCCCTTCCGAGGGCCCTGGGAAGATGGGCCGGCAGCCACACGCGTAAAGACACCGGAGGGTCACCAGGTACTGCCGGGAACGCCGGCCCCAGCTCGGCGCACACCGGGTTCACTGTCTGAGACCCCAGCGGGGGAACTGGCCGGGTTAAGAAAGGGGCAGCGGTGGGTTTCGGTGGCGATCGGGTTGGGATTCCCAGGAGTTAAGTTGGAGGTCGTTGGCGCATGAGTTCTCCAGCTCCTTGTTTCAGTTCAACTAACTTTTAATTGTCTCTTCTCCCCTCGCTCTCTTTTTAAAATCCCCCATCCTAAACCCCCTTATTTGTGTCTCTGCTATGACAGGACTATCTGGGAGGGCTTGGGGTGAAAGTGGAGACACTTCTGCTCAGTCTACCGCTGTTGAGGCTGCGGATTTGGAACGCAAAACGCGCTCTTCCTCAGGGCCGGGCCCGCAGCGCTCCATTGCCCCAAAGCGAGTGTTCCCATTCTCCCAGGGTCTTATTAAGATAATAATCTTGTTTGGGAGGGAAATGAGCACTGAAGGACCACTTGGCGAAGCTAGAGCTGGTTGTGTCAGGCCCAGGTATCACCCTGCCTTGAACAGCCATTTAACGCCCTGTCCCCCAGAAATGTGTCTGGTGCATCCTAAGTGACGCCAGGCTGATGTCTGGTTTGATCGCGTGGAGGCCGCGGAGGGTAAGGAGAGCTGAGGATCCAGAGGGCAGAGGGCAAAGGCATGGGGATAGATGTCACAGGGGCCCGGGGAAAGCAAGGATAGGACATTTGGGTGAAGGGGTAGACGGTGTATCCTCTGAAATCGCTGCAATAACAGGCTCCAGTGTCCTTGTCCTGAGTGGCCGCCGCTGCAGCGACTGTCCAGGGCCGAAGGTAGCCTCAGCCGCTGCACCCCACGTCTGGCTGTAGAAAGGTCGCTGTCCGCTTCCCTAGGGAATGAGCTACTTTGCCGATTTTGTCTTAGCAGCCTTGTCGAAAAGGTTTCTTTCACTTGCTTTTCCTGTGTTTCCCATTTACTGGGTATTTTCTCTCATTATGGTATCCCAGAGATGATTGGAATTTCCCCGCAGGCCCAACCCAGGGCTTCCGTTCGCAATGCTCCCACGGATTACCTAGCGCACAGAGTAGCTATCCTGCGGAGCACATCCCTCCTAAAGATGTGGAGCTATTCATACAGAGCAGAAAAAGACATGCCACAGAAAATGGTGCACCTTACACCTAAAACTGCCGTTTAAGCCCGTCAGTAACGATCCCCCCAAATTGTTAGTTTCTTTGCACTATTTCTGGACTTAACACACTCGCCTATACTTACTTGCTCATTTCCATGGAAATGACAGAAAAACAGTTTTTAAATGTCTACCAGTTGACAACTTCATCTTTTTAAGCTACCTCTGTGGAACCAGAACCACTCAGTTCAGCAAGTGGTTTTTTGAAAAAAATTGAAAGTGTAATGTCCTATTTTGGTGCAATCGCGCACGTGGCTTTGTACATTTTCCCCATCTTTCCAAAAAAAAAAATCTAATTACAGTACACAAATATATAACAGCGAAGATGAGGGGGGAGGGATTTTGTTTTGCCTTAATGAGCTGTGTCTCAACCAGTAGCAAATTTCTCCCAAGGAAACCACAGATACCACAAAAATCACTTTTTAAAAGGTTTGGGTTTATTTTTTTTTTTAACCAAAATCAATTCTCAAGCAAATGGTCTCTTTTTAATTTTGGGTTTCAATGGCCAAGCTCCAGTTTTCCATAACTTTTGTAATCTGTACTAGTTACAACTGTCATCGTTACTTCCTAATTTCTAGCGGGCACTTATTCCAACGGCTTCTATAAATAGGGAATACGGTCTTGAGTTTCTTAGGAACTGACTGCCTTTAAAAGAAAACATATAGCTAATATACTTTGGATGTTTGGAACAGAAAAAAATAGTCCTTCCAAGTCCCTGCATTTCGGAAGGGCGACCTTGAAGAAAATTCAGAGAGATGACTTCCTTGTGTCTGAAACTTGCCCTGTGATACTGATGTCTTAGTCAAAGCAAGGAAGTTATTCTAATTCTTCAGCTGGGGACTCAACCTACCCCTCCGTTTTAGACGGAAAAGGTTCTTATCAACGCCTTCTCCTTTCCCTTCCAGTCGCCCAGGCAGACCCGGAGGGCTCGGCCCGGGCTTCCGCGGCGGAGGAGATGGCTTCCAGCCCACTGCCGGGGCCCAACGACATCCTGCTGGCGTCGCCGTCGAGTGCCTTCCAGCCCGACGCGCTGAGTCAGCCGCGCCCGGGCCACGCCAACCTCAAACCCAACCAGGTGGGCCAGGTGATCCTCTACGGCATTCCCATCGTGTCGCTGGTGATCGACGGGCAGGAGCGCCTGTGCCTGGCTCAGATCTCCAATACTCTCCTCAAGAACTTCAGCTACAACGAGATCCACAACCGCCGCGTGGCGCTGGGCATCACGTGCGTGCAGTGCACTCCGGTGCAGCTGGAGATCCTGCGGCGCGCGGGGGCCATGCCCATCTCATCGCGCCGCTGCGGCATGATCACTAAACGCGAGGCCGAGCGCCTGTGCAAGTCGTTCCTGGGCGAAAACAGGCCGCCCAAGCTGCCAGACAACTTCGCCTTCGACGTATCGCACGAGTGCGCCTGGGGCTGCCGCGGCAGCTTCATCCCCGCGCGCTACAACAGCTCGCGCGCCAAGTGCATCAAATGCAGCTACTGTAACATGTACTTCTCGCCCAACAAGTTCATCTTCCACTCCCACCGCACGCCCGACGCCAAGTACACCCAGCCGGACGCAGCCAACTTCAACTCGTGGCGTCGCCATCTGAAGCTCACGGACAAAAGCCCCCAGGACGAGCTCGTCTTCGCCTGGGAGGACGTCAAGGCCATGTTCAACGGCGGCAGCCGCAAGCGT